CTTTGTTGTGCTGGCTTTGTAAATGGAGTTGCTGTTTCTCAGCCTCTCCTGAAAGCAAGGAACGACGGCTTGTAGCATGTTTGGTCATGCCGTGGAGGTGTTCAGGAAGTTGGAACTGGGCACAGGAGAAGCTGATTTTTCATTTCTCACTAGAGGGACTCAGGAACCTGGTAAACTTGTGAGGATGTAGAGCCAGAGCTTCTGACCGAAGGAGCGCATCCCACACCCCAGGGAGGGGGCAGAAGGGGAGAGACCTGTCTGTTGGTTCATGGGCTGCTCTGGGACCAAGAGGAGGAGGGAAAAAGAGTGATCTTCTGGTACAAAGAATACAAGTCAAAATTAATGGTTATTTAAATCAGACCCAAATCTCGGGCATTCCTTAATCTTCACCGTGAAAACCCACATTCGATAAATACACTTTGCTGTAGCAAATAAAAAAAAAAAATTGTGATAAGAGCAAACCCCATTTTAAGGCAACTAAAATGAAATGCATGTTGCAGATTTTTTGCTAGAAATATACGTATTTGTCCTCAAATATCTAACAGTGTAAAGCTATCTGAACATCAAGTGAGCAACAATCCGTACCTACATTCTGGGTGAAATATAATATGCGCAGTAACTGGAAGGCCATTTGGGTGCATATACAATTTGAAACACTTCGTTTCGCATCTTTAATGGTGTGGGACAGGGTTGGGGTTTTTGTGGTTTGCATAAATCCGGGATTAGCTGTAGGAAATGGAACATTTATTGGAAGATGCTATTTAAAAGAGACAGAAATCATGTTTCGTAACTGATCTCACTGAAATTTATATAAGAAATGTTTCCAATTCACCTATGCACTGGAGGAAACAAAAAAGTACTAGAAACTATCATTTTCTTTTGCTTTCCTTTACCACCCTTAAATTTTCACTGGCTGCAGTGCTAAACATGGGATTGAATTTACTCTTATCACGCTTATCTCGGAAGCAGAGGAGCTGGTTGCCTAAGAAGCAATTGGAAGCTTGTTAAAGCAAAATGTCAGTCTGGATTTTAGCAGAGGCAAATGAGGACGGAACTGAGACCTGTAACTTTGGAGTTTCCTAGCGGGCGAGGATTTGCCTGAAGACAGGAATGAAATTCCCATTGCTTTCAGGACAGCAAGGCTGGATCTTAGATCTGTAATCATGATGCTTTATCAGAGGGTTGGGTTTTTTTCCAACTGTTTTTAAGTAGTGAATCACTATGAACTGAATAAATTACAGGAAGAATCGCAAGACCTGGAGTTGAAATCAATGCTGACATGAAATAGGAAGGTGATTGCAGCTGTCAGGTACCTCCACAAGGAGAAACCTTGACTGAACTTTGAGCGACACTTCAAATGCGTCAAGCCCTTGTTGTCTGCCTTCTTCCAGCCCTGTGCTGCTCAGCATATAAAGCATGTTCCCCGTTGTCAGAGTGACCTTGTCTGCCGTCTGTGCCTTGCCCTCTCCAGCTGAGCTTGTGCAGTAGTCTTTTTGTAGCACTGAATTTGGAGACATTTGAAAGTTGCCTGCAAATCCAGCACCACTTTCCTTCTGTGACCAAGAAAAAACAGTGGATGTTCCTTTTTTATGAATCATTTCCACTGTGTTTTAAATTTAGAGTTCCTCTGATGATCTTGTTTGAACAGAAAAAAATGACAACGTGCTTTACAGTGAAGCACTGAGGGGCTGGTTGCATAAATCTTCCTGTAGACAGCCAGGGGTGGGAGGATGGTAGAAGAGCAGTGGGATGGACCCAGGGGAAATGTCTGTAGGGTGACGATATGAGAATAATTTTTTTTTTTTTCAAGGCCTTCTCTTGGTCAGGTAACCCTCCTAAAATGCCCACACTGACAAAACAGTGACTGTATTATTTTTTTTTAATGCTGAATTCATTTTGAATAGTCTTTCAGTTTTCTACGAGAAAAGCCGGTATCCTGGACACTAGATTTATCTGCCTCAAATAACAACCAAGGCTTTTAGGCACAGACAGTAAGAATATGCCGTTTCCTGCTCAGCTCTTGGCTCTTACAACCTCCCCATCTCCTCTTTGGCTTTGCCACCGTACCTGTCCCTCCTTGTCCTTTGTGACATTTCTCCCACCTCTCCCCTACCTCTTGTTCTACATCTGTCAGACGCACCTCTCCCATCTGTCCTGTGGGTCCCAGGCACTTTGATCTAAGCAGAGGCTCATCGTATTAATGCCTAGTGCTGGGAGAAACCTGGAGGAGAGGGTGGTAGTGGCAAGGACATACAGTTGTATGAAATCAGGCACAATTTCTGACTGCAGCTTAGTGACAGTGCGCATTTCTTCGTAATAAATAACTGCACAACAGCAAAAAACATCCTGATGTGAAACTTCTCCTTCTATTGTTTTTGTGTAGCGACTCTGCATAGCTGGTGCATTGAGATCTCCCATGCCTGCACATCTGAAAGAAAACTTTGAGAGCTGGAAGGTCAAAAAAGACAGAAAACAGACTATTAAAAGTGTTCAGAGCTTTGCAATGGAAGTGCTAAATTTGGTATGAACAAAATATGACTGGGGATATTAGATGTATAGGGGCCAGAGCCATATGTTTGCACAGGAAGGCAGCTCGGTGAGGGCAGAGGATGCCAAGTTCTACCTAGAGCTCCCTGGTGCTGTTCTTAGCCCAGCTCAGGCAAATTTAAACCCTGGTAAAGGAAAATTGCAGTTTAGTGGTGGACATCACCTGGTTTAATGTAGAATCAACAAGACTGATTATTGCCTTACCCTGAGCAAGACTCCTCTGGAATCAAGCTTCTGGTGAAATCTATAATTTGAGGCCACTTTTCAAAACTGACAATGTAGTTTCGCTAACAGAGGAACCTGAGATCCTGCCCTGGTCTTGGCCTAGCATAAGGCCCTTCATTCCACCTGCATTGTCGCGTTGCTCCTGGGCCACTCACAAACCTTTAATATCCTCTATTCTAAAATCAACTGACCAGTTGGTGTTTGTCTTCTGTGATTGCTCAGCCTTGCTCTCTTATTTAAAGGTTTTTACCATTTCACCCTATAGTGGCACTCCCCAAAAATCCTTGCTTCTCAACAAGGACAAAATGCCCTGTTTTGTGGAAGGACAGAAAGAAGCGTGATGTCTGGGGATGAGTGAATATTCCTGTTTGGTCCAAATTAGAGCAGCGTCGAAGCATTTTGAAGTGAGGGCAGCTGACAAGTCCTCCAGGGAAGGAAATGCCAGTTGAAGCGAGCAGCAGGAAGAACATCTGGTGATACCTCCTGGTGTCTTACTGGTACGGGACCACCTCCGAGTGAAGAGTTCAGACTGCTCTGCCAGCATTTACTCTGCCAGTGTAATGCAGGCGGTGAGTTGACCAAGCCCCCATCCCTGGAACACTTGCCACTGCCACAAGACAAACTCATAATAATTAGTACTAGTATTAATAAGTAATGTTAGTAATAAACATTCATGCTACTGTTTTCTTTATGTATTTTGTGGCTTGAATGTCTGCCTTTGGATTTAGTAACTCCTTGTTCATATACCATTAACAGATGTAGAACAGAGGTAGTGCTCCCAACACTATGGTTCAGAGACGCAAACTCTGCGACACGCCACTTCCTGAGCCTAAAGAAAAGCATGTAGAAAGGTAAGTGTGACACTAGGGCATCTACCATTTGTGACTTTGGATATGTCATTTCTTATTGCTCCCTGCTTGTCTCTCTATCAGTAGAAATTATGATGCTTACCTACTGCACGGGGGGTTGCAAGCCTCATCACTGATGATGCCTTTGCTGCAGCACTGCATGGCACTTCTTATGCAGGTAATGTAATGAGCTTCTTTGGGTATTTGCAACTAACTGACAACCACAAAGATGCACTTAGCAAAAAAAATAGCAGATGATGCTGGGGAAAGCAAGCAGCTTTGGTTTGGTAGAAGGGTGGCATTTATCCCCAGCACGATGCCACCAGCTGGCTACCTGGACCAGGCAAGGAGGCACAGTCCAGTGGTTCCAGTGCAGTTGTTCAGTCTGCCTGCAATGGGCAGTTGTTGACTTTTTTGGAAGTCTGCCCATGAGTGCTGAGGTGAGTCTGCAGCTCTGGAACCGCACCTGAGACTTTTCTAACATTTCCTGGTGAGAAATGGCTTTGAATCTACACCACACTGAGTTGACTTTTCGCTAGTGATGTGGCTGAAAAGCTTTAATCTATTCATTGGTCTTATGGCATCAGCCTCCAGGAACAACTTTCGAGACTTTGGCCTTACTGTAGACAATTTTGTAGTAATACAGAAAGTGGTGGTCATCAGGTAGTTTGGAAAGAAGATCAGGATAACTGTTCTGTGCAGTCTCCTCTTGCCTAGTGGCACTGCACAGAGGCGCAGTGATAACAAGGCTGAGTCCAGGCTGGTTTGTGACTTTCTGATGTGTCTGTCGTGCCCTGTCCCTAACAGGGCCTTCATTGTCCGGTGCAAATGAAGAAATTACTGTGTCTAGAAATGGGCAATGAAAAGTGGGAGTATGTGAAGCTAGAAACAACGTTAAGGAGAATCCAGGCCAGCTATGACTTGATGTGGTACAGGGCTTGTTCCAGGAAGGAGACTTTCCTCTGAAGGTTGTGAGGGTTTGTGCCATCCTGAGCAGCAGTAACTACTGGGTTTTGCTCCCAAATAAGCATGAATGATGACGACTCTAAAGGTTAAGTTGCATGCATAAGTAAACTGTGAACTGAGAGCAGAACTTCAATTATATCACTTTATTAAAATTGATCTGATTTCATTACAGTAGATAACTGATGTGAAATTGCAGCTGATGTAATATTGAAGAATGGGTATCGGATTAAAGAACAGTGCCCGACTTCTCATTTGCAGTTTGCTTTCACAGCGCTGTGAGCACACCTAGGGAGGTAAGCTGTGTGTTCTTTACATTGAAATACTGGGGCAGGGCTGGGCATAGGACCAACAGAGCCTTGTTTCTATTCCTTGGAACACATAACGTCAAGAATTGTTATTTGTTCTTTAAAACAAAGACCTTTGAACAGTCTACATAATGAAATAAGCATGTTTGAGCACTAGCCAGTAGCTTGGCAGGTAGGGAATTTTCCTGGGAAATACGACCCAGACCAATTTTGTACCAACGGACATTTTCAGGCCTGTGAAAATGAAAGATGGGGATCTGCCTCTGGAAAGGTCCATAACGGATGTGACATTTTCAAGGAGCAGGAGTTGCCAAGTGAGCTGATGACAAATCAAGCTTGAGAGCAATACTAGGGCTACCATGCCTGTGGGGAGACCACCTGCAGTGACATGGGACTGATGAGGGATCAGGACCCTCAATTGTTAGGCTTATGGACACCAAGCTTCCATGAGTATGGGGCTGAGATGTGCATCTCAGCAAGACAGAAGCAGCAAAATGCCATGAGGTTTCCAAATTTTAATAGCGCAGAGTCAGCAAGTCAC